GAGGGTTATGAACTTAAATTGCAGTTTTCCATGGCTAATCGCTAATTTATTCTCAATAACGCAATGACGGTATTTCGATTGAACGAATGTCGGTTGAATGCTAACATTCGATCGGCAGAAATATTAACGTGATCAACCGTGAAAAATTTGTTACCATAATATGTTTATTTTTAAGTAATTCTTTGTAATTTTAATAGTTAAAAGTTAATTTTACAAGTTAAGCTTATTTATAGAAAATTATTAAAATCTTTTATAATGCAGGCATTTCGTTCCATGATGCTAGACGTAAAGAACGCTAGTATTGTCTTGTGAATAATGTCATGTTTCGGTTATCTTCTTTTGCGTAAATCCAGTAGAGTTTGTGATTAAAGTGCGTAACTTCTTTTAAGTTCGATGAGGCCGTAATTTTTACTGTTTCCGTGCTCTTTTGCATGACTAATTTAAATTACGATGTCGATGGAAGGTTTAGTCTCATATCACTAAGGCGACATTACAGCAACTGCGGAGTTGCTTCGAGTAATAATGAACGACATAAATGACGTACGTATTGTCTGTGCAGATGGTAGAGACAATGATTTGTTGCTTTTTGGTGCATTTGAACTCATGAGGCTTCACTTATTGAAGCTAAGCTTTAAGCAGCTCAGTTCTGAATGTCTTGCATTTGATTTCGTTTTTTAAAACGTAGATTACATTTAAAACTTTGACCGCGTTTTCAGATTAATTAAGTGCCGACTTATTAAGAACATTTTTTTATCGTCATTATCGTGTAAACCATGACTGAGAACAGCAGCAATCATTTGCATACGTTTCCAAGAATTTTATTTGTTGCTGGCACCTGTGGATCGCAAAAACGCTTTTTTCGAGGCTACTTTCTGTGTTGCTGACTCATTATTTCTTGTGAATACGACAGTTTTAAAATCATTCGTGAAAAATGGTTTCGTACATCAGAATATATCATTTTTTGATGTCGGAAACACCTCAAGGATAATTTTCATGATACAGTTTAGCCTGTCTACTGCTTTTTGATATTTCGATAGAAATGTGACATGTAACTATAGATTTCTCACTGTTTATTGGCAATTTTAGGAACTTCAGGTATTTCACTTTCTAAGATTTCAGTCCATTTCTTTATACACGCCACGGGTACGCGTTTGATATAGCAAGATCAGTAAGAAATAGTCCCATATCTGCTTCTGCAACTTTTTGCGATCTGTCGCTGTTTGTCTTTATTTAAACATGTTTTATAACTGGTAACACACTGACATGGAGGAAGTTGAGGTTTCTCACTTTTTTCCTGTTTCCTGCATTGGGCTTTTCATGTGCAGGAATTTAATTTGATTTTTTAAGTTATATCAACAACTCTTTTGACAAAAATTATGAAGTTTTGTCAATTTCATTTGTATTTTCAAATTCATCATCTTTACCAAGGATATGCTATTATGGTTGTTCCAGCTCGTTGCTCTCGTAGGATAAACGGACAAACAGTATGGCAGGTAAACAAGTGCAAGTACGTCGAGGTCGTGCTTACTCGTGATGGAAAATTTGAGGAAGAGATCAACCGACAGATTGCAGTAGCCAGTAGCGTTCTGCGTGAAATAACCCGAACCACTGTGACTAAGGTAGAGCTAAGTCCGAAGGCTTTTGGCATTCAAGTTGATCTTCATCCCCATGCTTACCTGCGGTGATGAATCGTTGGACCATGACTGAAAAGGTTCGCACCCGGGTACAAGCTTCTGAAATGGTCTTTCTGAGACGAGTCGTTGGTCTTGCGCTCGGCATGGTCCGGAATACAGAATCCGCCAGACCTTGGTGTACAGCTTCAGTTACTTTCTTCAAACTGAGAAGTCACAGCTGCGATGGTTTGGGCATGTGTTGCGTATCCCTCCAGAAAGGAAGGCGAAGCAACTATTTATTGCGCAGCCGACTGCTAGTTGACCCAAGGGACAGACAGGATTAACTTGGGGCAAATATATGGAAGGAGTCCATGGTCTGCTTTAGACTCCGTTGACTTCTGCCAAAGCTCAGACTCTTGGAAAAGATCGAAAACGTTAGAAACAGTGTCTGACGCGTCTGCCTCCGCGACCCGGTAGGAGAAGCGATTATGGAAGATGAAGAAGTCACATAAACAGTTTATCAGAAAATGTTAATCAGCCGAAGTTTATGACCATATTGAATTAGTTATTGTAACTGTGATAAAAGTACATGTTATGATATACTGAGGACCTACAGTATCGGATGTATCTTGACTGTACTTTATTAAGAAACGTAGCAAAAGCAACAGAAGTTGAGCGAAAAACATTCGGATAACTCAATTTTAGACGCAGTGGCTAACGGTATACAAGATTAACAAACTTCATTCCTCACTGTTTGTGCCATAACTGTGTCGGCTTTGGAACAGTGGGTCGACAGCAACTTTTCTCTTGCATGAAATGTCGCTAAAGAGAATATAAGAATGTTTACAGAAGTTGTGTGGGCTTAAAGTTTTAAACAAAGGTGTTGGATTAATAGGGGGTTAATAGGATTTAGAAATTCGAACCCCTATTCAATTTATAGTCATTGTCTTTACTAAAAGCCTATCGGTAAGAATATCTTAGTGATCTAAATTTTGATTAACTGTATTAATGCGCTTAATTATGATTATTGTACTCAGTTTCATTTTAACTATATTCTTCCATTTTTTGCTGTTTTGTTGGAACATGGGCCATTAGTAGCACCTGTCTATAAATGGTCAAAAATGATCTACAGGATTTGCCTTGACGATTTCTCCGGAATGATTAATGTCATTCTGGATGGAATGACTGATTATCTATGTTGCTCAGTTCTTTTGGATTTAAGGATATATATGTTGATCTTGAAGGTTCACGTCTCGTAAGACCACCCGGACAAAAAGTGAATAGAGGGTACTACTTTTTCTCAGTAAAGTGACTCGTCAACCGTGAGAATACGACAACGCGATATATAGAACAGGTATATGTCTTGGACAACATGGCCTTGATTTTTCTTTCCTAATCTCAGTTGCTTTTTTAGTTACTAAACCTTAATTGAGGAATGGAAGCCTGTGTTTCCTAGAAGACGCTTGACACTTGGAATGGATAGAATTTTTCTACCCGAGTAATTTTTCACAGATTGGCTGAAGTAGTTGACAGGAAAGTAACTACGGTGGGTAGAAACGTCTTGTAAGAACGGT